GCTGTCTCACTATCTCGCTGTCTCACAATCCCACTGTCTCATTATCTCACTATCTTGCTGTCTCTCTATCTCACTATCTCACTATCTCGCTGTCTCACTATCTCACTGTCTCACTATCTCACTATCTCGCTGTCTCACCATCTCTGCTTCCTTGTCGTTGCAGCATCTTACACAGGAAGCTCTGATGGAGAGGATGCTGTTCATCCACGGGAGAAGGAGCAGGTGGGTGATTCACTGAAGCCAGTCGGCCGACCAGCCAGCCAGGCGAGCCCGGCTAGCGGTCCGGGGCAACGACAGCAGCAGCGCGATATTTTTTAAATCGATGCGCGAATTGTATGCATGCCATTTCGCGTGCGTCTTATTCATGTGCTCATTTGTTGCCTCCCGCCGTTTGCTAAAATATTTAGAATCCCGCGCGTGTCGTCGTTAAACCACGAAGTAACCGCCTCACACTTACTTTTATTAGATTATTTAGATCTAATTAGGTCAGGTAGATTTATTGAGCAGCTCTAATATAGTGTCAACCCAAAATGTATATAGATCACCACGTGCTTCTGGCATATTTAGATTGCCATGTGCGTTTATTGAATCATGTGACACTTGGTTGCCTTTGAATTCATCATGCACATTTTTCCTCCGAAACTGGCCATTATCTTCTTTGTCTAATTTTCCCTCAGAAGAAACCCTGTATATGTGTGTGCATATATATACAGGGTGCGAAATTAACGGGAGTCCGGAGTCAAATACTCCCTGATTTACTGTCGGACTCCCTGATTTGACATATGCAGGAGTCCGTGTGACTCCCTGAAAATTCTGCCATACTAACTAGTTCATTCCAGAGCATGGCCTCATGGAACTACCGTATTTTTCCAGCAAATGTCCAAAGGAAATTTGGAATGAATCTTCAAAATAAGCACTTGCGTTATTGTTAATATCTTTAATTTTGAACTTCAGACTGAGGACTCCCTCATTTTGCCGCGGACTTTTTGAGGGCATATATATATAGCAGGGTGCTACAAATTTTTTTCCCCACTTGCCCGGTCGGGCAAGTGGGTTATGAAACTGGTTGCCCAGAGGCAAAAGTCACTTGCCCGAAAAACATAAAGAAAATTAATATATAACATTTTTTTCTACTATGAATTTAAATGGTAAATAACGTAAAGGAAGGTCCAACTCGGCACGGTAGAAAGTTGAACGGCTGATACGAGTTTGTATACAAAATATATTCATGTTATAACGCAGCATGCAGTTTGTTTAAATTTTTAATTTTTTTAAGTGTTAGTTTATTATAAAAAACCCACCACACTCTCACAATAAATTAATAAAATATGTTCAAGTTTATTATTTGGGGCTGGATCGTAAGCGCAGAGAATATATAGCAGTGCATGCATGCAAATACAGTGTTATTAAATAAAAGAATGTTTCATCGATCATAATTTTGAAGCCATATATTATTCAACGTATAAATCCAAACTAACGTCGTCAGTCGTATATAGAAGCAAACCCCGCCGAATCTCCGTCGTTAACGCAGCCTCCATGCGTCGTCGCGTTGCCGCGGTAACGATGCATCCATCGTCCTCTTTGCAGAAGAACTCGTCTGACTTCACGGACTTCTGCGTGCGCAGCATCACGCAGGCGGCGTTCGGACGTCGCGAGATAGAGATCGCCGAGCAAGGTGAGCATTCCGCAGCATCCCTCCCGCATCCTCACGCTGCTCAGCATCCCTCCCGCATCCTCGCACTGCTCAGCATCCCTCCCGCATCCTCACGCTGCTCAGCATCCCTCCCGCATCCTCACGCTGCTCAGCATCCCTCCCGCATCCTCGCGCTGCTCAGCATCCATCCCGCATCCTCACGCTGCTCAGCATCCCTCCCGCATCCTCGCGCTCCTCAGCATCCTCGTCATTTCCATCCTCTCACTGCTCAGCCTTCCTCTTTATTGCGGAAGTTGCCGTGGGCCGGAGAGAGAGAAGGGGGGAGAGAGAGGGAGAAAGAGAAAGAGAGAACAGGAGAGAGACAGAGAGGTGGACAGACAGACAGAGAAGGAGAAAGGGAGAGAAAGAGAGAGACAGCTGTGCTCCAATCTCGCTGGACTACCATGTGCATCCACGCCGTTCTCCCACACCAACCGTACCCTAGTCATCGCCGCCATGCTCGCCTACCCTGGCCATCATGGCCACGATATCGCTCCCGGCGTACCCTGTTCAGCCACGCCGCTCTCTTTCGCCGACATTCTCCGGTGTCGTCGCCCCGCGGTAACCGCCACCCAGCGAGAGAGAGGCTGCGCCGTGCGGCGAACGGCCGGCTAACGAGCGCGGATGAGCGGGAATCGTCCGTGCGCAGGACGTCTCAAGGTCGAATCTCCGCGCGCGTGTATCCATCGATCCCCGATCGAATATTGATTGGCTACAGTCCGTGAACAGCTGGTGGTGCGTCAGCCAATCGCGTGTCGGCGGTGAGGGTTGCCTGGGGACAGAGGGATAGGGTAAGAGAAGGAGGGGGAGGGAGAGAGGGAGGTAAAGATGAAGGAGTGAGGAGGAAGGTAGAGAGGGAGAGAAGAAGGTAAGAAGAGGAAGGGAAGGAGGGGAGGGAGAAGATGGGGTAAGGAGAGAAAGAGTTTATCAAGAGTATATAATGGGAGTTCTCCCATATATACTCTTCGTTTCTATAATGTACGTCAATGGTTGCTCAATTAAAACTGACTTCTTCTCACTCACTCATTTGTGTCCTTTTTTGTGGTGAGCTACAGTGTCATTGTCACTTTCATTGTAATCATCGTCATCATCGTCGTCGTCGTTGTCATCGGCAGCAGTGACTAGTGAGAATGAATATCAGTCACCGTGTGCTAATGAGGCAATATTGAGGAGGAGGATGAGGATGCTTGCGAAGCTTCCGGCGCGTTCATCCTCATCCCGCCGAGTGGCCGCCACCTGGTCGTTCTCGATGGCGGCGACGGATGAGGAGGAGTGCGGTACAGATGCTGTAGATTCGTGAATCCCCGTCCGCATCTCAGGATGCTGGTGATGGTGAGACATGGCCTCACGGCTGTGTAACAACAGAGCAGTGAAACAACGGAACAGTAAAACAACAGAACAGTGAAACAGCAGAGCAGTAAAACAGCCGAGCGGTGATGTAGTTGAACAGCGAAACAGCAGAACGGTAAATCCACAAAATGGCAAAAACAACCGAGCGGTGAAACAACATAGCAATCGAACAACAGAACAACAGAACAACAGCAAAACAAGTGAGCAGTAAACGAACAGCGACCGCGCTGTCATCGCCAGCACGCGCGCCGGCTGCCGGCGACACTTGGCACTCTGCCAGGCTGTTATTAACAGAGGAGTGGTTAAGCGCCTTCCTGCACTGCAGCGATTAGTGTTCTGTAGCAGCAGCTGCAGCTGCATTGACAGCAGCGGCAGCAGCAGCTTTTTTAAGGATAGCGTCAATTCTCGATTTTCGATCTGCGATGAGAAAAAGCTGTTTCGCGATGCAACATCGTCTCTCAATCAGCTTCATCATCCGTCCGTTTGTCCGTCCGTTCGATGCTCGCTAACAGGTGGCGCCGCTGTCTTTCAGAACGAGGTCGCCGCGGCGCTGGCGGAGGCTGGCTTCTCCATCTTTGCGTGGAAGGGAGAGACAGAGGAAGACTTCTGGTGGTGCATCGATCAGTGCATCGAGCCGGCCGGCAACCAGAACTGGGAGCCGAACCTGGTGAGTGGTGGCGCCATCTTTGGGGCAGAATTGAGAGTTATCGACGTGCGATTTTGTCGTTGCCGGAATGCATGAGCGCATGCGGTTTGTTAGAGATGTTCGTGGCGCTGGTTGTCTAACGAGATATTGATTTTAACATTTTGTAAGGGCTGCACGTTCCATTGTCGACGTCAACCATTGCTCATCGGATTGTTCATTGCCGTTCACCACTGTTTATCATCGTTCACCATTGTTCATCACTGTTGTTCCTTGCTGTTCGTTGTTACATCCTTTACGACAGCGGCGGCGGCGACGCGACTCATGTGTTGCTCAAGAAGTACCAGCGATTATTTCAAGAGCATCAGCGGCATCGTTCACTGTTGTTCATCATCGTTCACCATTGTTCACCATTATTCATCATTGTTCACCATTG